GCCCAAACAGGAGGTAGACCTCTCATCTCCCACATACCTACTCCAGCAAAACCCAGAAATTCACACCAGATTGAATAATGATAACAAAATCTAGTGGAAAAAAATCTAGTAATGAATTCTTTCCAGTATGAACTGTGAAGTTCACTCCAGATTGGAATAATGATCAACAGGTCTAGTGAAAAACAATGTTATTTCCTCCACCCAAGAAGTATATAATCAGCCAGAAGCCCATGAACAACAGGAAAGATGATACCAGCAAAGCCAGAGTCAGCTTGACCAGAGAGAAGATATATGTAACCTGTAAGACTTTGTGTCTGGAAGCAGCAGAAGCATAGGACTCCCTTCAAAAAGCTCTGGAGTGGTCATGATGCCCAAGGGTGGCAACTATGGAAACCCTAGAAAGTGGCAATAAAAGTTGCATGTGTCAACCAGCAGGGTACCACAGCTCTTAGACTGTAGCACTAAGATCCAGGGTAGCCCAGGCTCCGGGACACTGAGGTCCTTAACATTGTGTTAATATGAGAGAGAGGGCCCTGAACATCCAGCTCACTCAACTTCACAAACCCAAAAGGTCAGCTCAGAAACCTAGGGGAACCCAGAGTGAGACTAAGCAGGACCAGCTATCCCACTAAAGAGCACAGCATGGGTAGAGCCTAGCTAGCCCTGGCATAAAATTCCAGTGCAGGAACAAAAAGCTAGAAAGATGAAGAAATCAAAGAAAACACCAACCAGTATAAAAAGTTATTGTTTAATCTAGAGCTCCCCGAAAAGGAGAGAATACCTCCCCAGCAATTTCAAGCAGAAGCTCAAAGGAAAAAAATAGATTTTCCACAAGGACTATATGATATCTAAAAGAAATGAAAAATGACATAAAAAATAAGTGCTCTGGTGGAAAGAATTGGAAGGTGAATAAATACTTAGAAGAGACAGTGGTAAACCTTACCCAAGAAATGGAATCCCTGAAAACTAGAATAGACCAGACAGAAATCAGTGACTCCATGAGACAGCAAGAAATATTTTTTAAGAAAATGAAAAAAAGAAAATGTATATTGATATCAAAAACAACTGAACTGAGGAACAGTTCAAGGAGAGATAATTTAGTTATTTTTCTTTTCTTTTATCTTTTTATTTTAGACTTAAATATATAATAAGAAAAGAGAAACATAAATATTAAAACTTAAATACAAAATAAGAAAAGAAAAATGTCATGCACAGAGGAACATAAGAGGATTCAAAATATATAGCAATAAATTTCCATTTCAGAAAAGCCTATGTAATAAATACTATGTGTTGTGTTCGGAGCTGTCCATCTTTTCTTTGCTTCCTTGTAAGTTTTTTTTTGTTCTCTGCCATACACTTTTTACTATGTTCTTTTTTCCCCTTACCTGAAAAGTTGAGTAGGATCCTATACAGAAAAAAAGTTGTGTATGTGTAGAGGGGAACTTTAATGGAACAGAGAACTTTTAAGCATTTCTGATGAAAAGATCATAGGTGAAAACAAAATCTGGAATATAAACACAGGAATATAGAGAAACCTAGAAAGGTCAATTTATTGTAGCAATTGGAAGGAGCTATATGTTGTGTTAGCATTCCAGTAGGGAGAAAAGAAACAAGTATCTCTTCAGAACCTTTATGTCTTTAAAGAGTATAGAGAGGGTTAAAAAAAAAACCCGAGATTCTAATGGTGGATTTTTTTTTTCAGTTCTGGGAGTTTAAAGAGGGGAAACAGAAATGAGTGTAAAAGGAATATACTAGTGTATAAAGGAGGAAGAAGGAGGTGGAACTCCATTTGGAGTGTGTGAGAAGAATAAATAGTATACAAACATGGACATGAAAGTGTCGGGGGAAAGAGCATCAGATGAACCTTACTCTTATCTGAAAGTACAGAGTTGAACATACAGTTTGGAATAGAAATACATCAGACTAAACAGGGAAATAAACAGAGATGGGATAGGGGAGAGAAAGAGTTAAGAGAGGACAATACCAGGGAGGGAATAGTCATAAACAAAATAATCTTCCTCATCCTGAAGGAAGTATTGGTGGGGTGGGAGTGGAGGAGAAAAGCAAAGAACAAGAGTCTAAAGGGGTGCCTTGGATTGCTTCTTAAACAGTTGATTCATAGCTAAAGAAATTGTGATATGTGAAAGACCTGATGAAAGATGATTTCAAAAAAATCTTGGGTAGCATGAACTGATTCAGAGTGAAGTTGGCAGAACCAAGAGAACAATGTATACAAGCAAAGGAAGTGTACAAGTTGTGAAGGAGAACAGCTTTGAAAGACATGAACTATGAGCAGAGGACCCGTGATAAAGTATGTTACCCACTCTCTGACAGAAGGTTGATGGACAGGTGCAGAGACATACATGTATGAATGTGGCCACTGGGAAGATTGATTTTGCTTGACTGCTTACTGTTTACCAGGGATTTGGGGGTTTGTCTCTTAGTTTTCAGTGAGGGGAAAAGGGAGGCAGTAAGAGGGTTAAGCAGTTATCGTTGTTGTTGTTGTTGCCTTGTTTCAGTCTTATCTGACTCTTCATGGCCCGTTTGGGGTTTTCTTGGCAGAGATACTGGAGTGGTGTGCCATTTCCTTCTCCAGCCCATTTCACAGAGGAGGAATCTGAGGCAGACAGGGTGAAGTAAGTGACTTGCCCAGAGTCACACTGCTAGTAAGTGCCTGAGGCCAGATTTGAACTCAGGAAGATTAATCTTCCTGACTTCAGGCCTGATGCTCTATCTACTGTACTACCTAGCTACCTCTGGGTTAAGTGATACTGGTACCCCAAAAGACATACATTAAAACATTCTGTTTAATGCACAGAAGGAAGCACAGACAAACAAAACACTTTTGAAATTAACATGTAAAATGTATTATGTCCTTTAAGAAAAAAAGCACCAGTATTCTGAATTGGAATTTCATGATTTTACATAGAATCTTCTTTTTCTGTTCTGCTTGTATATATGGAAAAACTTTTTTTTATGTTTAAGCCTTTAAAAATATACACATACATACATACATACATACGTGTGTGTGTGTGTGTGTGTGTGTGTGTGTGTGTGTGTGTATTAAGTGGGCTTTCACTGCAACCATTCTGTTAATTTTTTTTTTTTTGGTGAAACAGTCAGGGTTAAGTAACTTGCCCAGGGTCAAGTGTCTGAGTCCGGATTTGAACTCAGGTCCTCCTAACTCCAAGGCCAGAGCTCTATCCACTGCACCATCTAGTTGTCCCTAACATTCTCCCACTCTTTTTTTTTCTTTTTTTCTTTTTTTCTTTTTTTTTTTGCTTTTTGTGGTAAGGCAATCGTGGTTAAGTGACTTGCCCAGGGTCACACAGCTAGTTAAGTGTCAAGTGTCTGAGGCCAGATTTGAATTCAGGTCCTCCTGACTCCAAGGCTGGAGCTATCCACTTCGCCATCTAGCTGCCCCTAACATTCTCCCACTCTTCACAACTATTATCACAACTAACATTCTTATATTTTCCCAAACCTCTCCAATTGTTAATGTCTTTCAGATTACCTGCAGTTCCTCTACTTTGTATATAGATACCCTGTTAGACTGCGAAGTTCTTCAGAAGCAGGACCATTTTTGCTTTTTATTGTTGCCTCAGTGTTTTAGCACAGTACCTGGCACATAGTAATTGCGTAATAAATGCGTGTTTCCTTTCTTTCTTCCTTTCATTTGTAATCTTATTATGAAAAAAAACTGTAGTTATTTTAAAATCCAAGTACAAAAGCAGTCCCTTGTCAAGAAAGGTGATCTTAAAATTCATGTCCTTGAAATAATCAACACACAAGCTACTTCCTAAAATAATTAATGATAATGAATACCCAAAAAACATGGTATTGACTTTGAGGCCATGATTTCAGTTGAATAAGGTTAACTCAAAAGCCAGTAGACCTGCGAGTATACTGTCTCTTGTAAATTGTAAAATTTCTATGAGTAGCAGACTTAGTTATGTTAAATTATGTAAGGCCTAGTTTCACAAATATTTCATTTTTTAAAATCTAGAATCAAGTGTATTTCCAAAAAAATGTCTCCCTCTCAAATATGCATAAGAGGTAAGGGGTTCATCATTCTTCATCTCGCCTCCATCATCTGCCCAAAAAATCCCTTTTCTCTTTATGCACCTGCTAGAAAACCTGAGGCAGCTAGGTGGTGCAGTGGTTAGATTACCAGGCCTGGAGTCAGGAAGACTTGAGTTCAAATGTGACCTCAGACACTTAGCAGCTGTGTGACCCTGGGCAAGTCACTTCACCCTGTTTGCCTTAGTTTCCTCATCTGTAAAATGAGCTGGAGAAGGATATAGCAAACCACCCCAGTATCTCTGCCAAGAAAACTCCAAATGGGGTCACAAAGAGTTGGACATGACTGAAATGACTGGATAACAGAAGAACCTGAGCTCAGTAGCTGACTTTGTATGTTGTGTGGGAGGCAAGGAGGAATCGCTACAATATGGAAAAGCATTATAATATTTAAAACAAATAGATGCAGTGAGACTGTGTCCTGAAGTGGGCTTCTCTTTAGCCAAATGAAACCCATTAACTTGCCGCACTTAATTGCTCCATTCTGTTGCCTCACCGTGTCCAGCTCTCCTCCAGTCTTGGCACTTTGGGTGCCCACAAAACCCTGGGAAAATAGAATGATAGCAGGTGGCTCATTAGAATTATATGTGAAACTGACTGACCTCTCTAGGTATCATAGTGCTAAGGAAAATAGGCTATGGTGAAATTTCATAGATAATCACAAACTGCATTTTTGTTGGCATGTACAGTGACCTTGAAGGGTTGGGGGGTGGAGAAGATGAGGGACTTGTAGGGAATCGGGAAGCACAGACTTCATTTACTTTAGAAGAATTGTGTTCTAATGATAGCCTGTGATTCCGTGAGTTGGTTTCTTTTGCTGAATGTATACTGTTATTTAAGTAAAAAAAAAACACACGTTCATAAGCACTTTGAGTTCAGTTTAGTTCCAGATATCATTTTGCCATTTCTTCTCTTGGCAGGCTGAAACGCTTTTCCGGCACATCTTGCCAAATGAAGAGTTCTGCCCCCCTCCACCAAATCCTGAAGATATTGTTTTCGATGGAGATGGTATGCAACCAGAGGTTCCTGCCCCCAAGCCAGAAGCTGCTGAAGACGTCACAAGCCAAGGAGATGCAGAAGAGCACTCAGAAGAATAGATGACTGCCAGACAGGGAGCCCTGCTTCAAAAATCATCTTCAGCATCCAAATTGTCTTAATACGAGCAGTTAGAAAATGACTGAAAAGCAATAGCCGCTCATCATCTTCTTCTTCTCCTTCTTTTTCTTCTTCTTCTTTTTCTTCTTCTTCTTCTTCTTCTTCTTCTTCTTCTTCTTCTTCTTCTTCTTCTTCTTCTCCTTCTTCTTCTCCTTCTCCTTCTCCTTCTTCTTCTTCTCCTTCTTCTCCTTCTTCTCCTTCTTCTCCTTCTCCTTCTTCTCCTTCTTCTCCTTCTCCTTCTCCTTCTTCTTCTTCTTCTTCTTCTTCTTCTCCTTCTTTTTCTTCTTCTTCTTCTTCTCTTCTCCTTCTTCTCCTTCTTCTCCTTCTTCTTCTTCTTCTTCTTCTTCTTCTCTTCTTCTTCTTCTTCTTCCTTCTTCTCCTTCTTCTTCTTCTTCTCCTTCTCCTTCTCCTTCTTCTCCTTCTTCTTCTTCTTCTTCTTCTTCTTCTTCTTCTTCTTCTTCTTCTTCTTCTTCTTCTTCTCTTCTTCTCCTCCTTCTTTTCCTTCTCCTTCTTCTTCTTCTTCTTTTTTGCAAAATCATTTTAAAAGCAACCAGAAGGGTTTCCCCTCCCCACCCCAAAGAAAGGCATTGTTGCACAAAGTCAAAAACCACACTTTTCAAACAATTTATTCTTTCTGTTTTAAAATGTTAGAACTTTTGAATTAATGGATTGAATTTTCCAGTGCTTTGTCTCCCAGGAGTCACTGTCTGGGTTAAGGGACCTGATGAATTCTTAGCTGGTGTGTATTGTACAGACAATTTTTCCTCCACTTCTTCAGACTCAGAGGAATCGTTCTCCAAAGGCTTGGCTCTTTGGAATACTGACCACTTCCCTGTTTCCAGTGAAACATGAGTGGACCCGTCACATACACATACATGAGTAAGTCTAGTTTAGAAGAACTAAGATTACATAAGCAAGCCATCTTTGTTCATATTTTGCAACCTGTGGAAGCTCCAAGATATGCTTATTTGCGGTTTTCCAGAAACTTACAAAAGGCTGGAGTTCTGCAGCTCTCTTCTTAATACTAGCTAACAGTATATGTTTAAGCAGAATGGTTATCTTTTGTTTGCAGTCTTTCCCTTCAGTAGGAAACCTCAGTAATAACTAGGATCAGAAGCAGTGACAGCTTTGAAACTAAGATTTAGGTGTGCCCTTAGTACTCAACAAAACAATGGAGGTAAGTGGTAGGAATAACCATGACGTGATTGACAGCCTGGAGACAAAGATAAAGATAAAGTCCTTGCTATGCCTGTTTCTGACTTTAACCTCACTGTGCCTCAGTTTCTCCATCTGTAAAATGGTAATAATATCTTTACTTGTGTACTTGATGAAAATGCTATGATGATAAGATGCATTTGTCTAGAGTATAAAGCTTGCTTTTTTCAGGGGAAAAACTGTTCTAAAATTCTTAAGCCCTCTCAGATGAGCAGTTAAACACTCCAAACAGTAAAGCAGCCCCAGGCTTCCTGAGAAAACAATAAAATCATACTTAACTGTTCTTATTCCCACGTACCAAAATTTGGAAATGAAAATGCATTGTCTAAATGTGTTCAACACATTAGTTTCTCTTAATAGTCAGGGGTATTATATAGCTCCTTTAAGATATTACTACATGGGGCAGCTAGGTGGCATAGTGGATAGAGCACTGGTCCTGGAGTCAGGAGGATCTGAGTTCAAATCAGGCCTCAAACACTTAACACTTACTAGCTGTGTGACCTTGGGCAAGTCACTTAACCGCATTGCCTAGCACCCCCCCCCAAAAAAAAAGATGTTACTACATGGAGGTACGGCTTTGAGCTCTTACCAAGGAAGACACTCTGTAAATCTAAATCATATTACTTTTCTCACAGGCAGATCCCAAACTAGTGAACAGAACTCTACAATTGTCAGTCCTAAGGTGTGTGTAATGGAAAGAACTCTACATCTAAAGCCCAAAGCCAGTTATGATGACATGCTTGCGTGTATAAAAGAGATTGCCAGGCCCAGACAGATGACCCACTTTGGGGGCAATAGTCAGTATCTCTAGATTCCAGTACCAAAAAAAAAGAATTTGAAGTTTGTTATGATGAGATTTGAGCTGGTTACTCTTTTTCTCTTCAAAAAAAGCCATGGCTGCATAGGAAAGTCCATGTTTCAGTGTACCTTAGCTGTAACTTGTCCTCAAATTTCCCCAGGTTCTAGGAACCCGAAAGGAAGGAAACTGGTGCTTTGATCAGTTCCCTTCCTGGGAAAAGGGAGGAGCAGAATATTGTGAATCTGCATAGGTAATTTTGAAGCCAGGAAGTGTAGAAGTCTTAACCCTTTCCTCCCCATCACGCCCCTCTCACCCCTGCTCCCCTTGCACTTTCAAGGCTGTTTACTATACCAGTGAATAGTCTTCCCTATCTGAATGCAAAATCTTCCCTATTCTGCTGTTCTGATTTTAACATATCACGCATTTCAGGTGTGGTAGAATCCCCTCATGACATGGCGTGTTCTGTGGTTTTACTTCTATCATGAGTCAGATTGTAGCCCCTGAAAATCAACTACTGCATGCAATGAAAACCTAATATATCTCTCTATATATAACCCTGTTAGTCTTACAGCTCCAGGTGTTAGTTTTGTCCCTGGACACTAGCAATATAAAAGGGTTCTACTGTGTGTGAATATTGGGTCTGAATACAATTGCAGTAGGCTGCACTAATTACCATCTTTTGTTTTATTTTATTCATCCTACATTAGCTTCTTATCTATAGTACATAAATTTATGCAAACCATAAGCAAATCAGGGTAACCCCAGATAACAGGGGAAAAAATCAGAGTACTGTACTTTTGTTTTGCTCAGTAGAACAGTGTAGGGTGTACTATCGGAAGGCTTAACCCATGTCACACCCTATTTTAGCCTTTAACCTATATGGACATAGCCTTCCCAGTTACTCTAGGTGCTTGGTGAGGATTATGTATGCAAGGGGGCTCCCTGAGTCTGCTATGGATAATCTCCCACCTGTTGTTGAAGTATGAAAAAATTTTGAATCTGGGCCATGTTGATATCAAATCATGTTAGAGACCTTGATTTACCTCATTGCATAACCGCCTTGTTGCATCAGAATGTAATAGAAGTTATTCTTTTGGGGCTACGTATGTTAAGTACTGCTAATAAATATTGGTTTTAAGGAGAATTCTATGTTTAAAAAGTTTGTTACAGAATCTACATCTTCACCTGTAGTTTACTATATGCAGTCTGTATCAGTTTTTATAAAAAGGAAATTTATACATGATTAAAAACTTGAATGGTTAATTAAAAATTTTGAAACACCATTTTTCAAAGACTCGATTTACTTCACATGCTTAGGTAACACGTTCAGCAAAAAGTGATAATATTATTCAGTTCTACAATTAATGTGTGAACCAGCCTTGTTGCTACTTGTTTGTATATTCTTCCTGTCCCAAGAAGTGTATTTATACAAGTTATTTTTTATCATTATTACTAATAAATAGCTAATTCAAGTTTAGAATTTCTTTTCACTCTCATATTCTTCTTGTAACATCCATAACTTTTGAGATTGATACCATTTATTTTTTTCAATTTTTTAACATTTTTATTTAAAATTTTGAGTTCCAAATTCCTTCCCTCCTTCACTCCCTCCCAACCCCCCTCCCTGAAACACTAAGCAATCAGATATAGGTTATACATGTGCAATTTTGTAAAACATTTCCATATTAGGCATTTTGTACAAGAAGACTCGAATAAAAGGAAAAAAAAGAAAGAAAGTGAAAAGTAGCATGCTTCAGTCTATGTCCAATCAATATCAGTTCTTTCTCTGGAGGCAGATAGTCTGCTTCACCATTAGTCCTTTGGGATTGTCTTGGATCCCTGTATTGCTGAGAATAGCTGAGTCATTCACAGTTCTTCATTGAACAGTATTGCTGTTACTGTGTACAACATTCTCTTTGTTCTGTTCACTTCACTATGCATCAGTTCATGTAAGTCTTTCAGGTTTTTCTGAAATCACCCTGCTCGTCATTTCTTATAGCACAATAGTATTCCATTACAATCACATAGCACAGCTTGTTTAGCCATTCTCCAATTGGTGGGCATCCCTTCGATTTCTAAATTCTTAGGCACCACAAAAAGAGCTGCTATAAATATTTTTGTACAAAAAGGTCCTTTTCCCTTTTTTTGGATGTCTTTGGGATATAGTTCCAAATTGCTCTCCAGAATAGTTGGACCAGTTCGCAATTCTAACAGTCCATTAGTGTCCCAATTTTCCCACTATCCTTCCAACATCCAACATTTTCCTTTTTTTTGTCATAGTAGTCAATCTGATAGGTTTGATATGGTACCTCAGAATTGTTTTAATTTGCATTTCTCTGATCAATAGTGATTTAGAACATTTTTTTTCATATGACTGTGGATAGCTTTGATTTCTTTGTCTGAAAACTACCTGTTCAGGGGGCAGCTAGGTGCCTCGGTAGATAGAGTACCAGCCCTAGATTCAGGAGGACCTGAGTTCAAATCTGGCCTCAGACACATAATGCTTACTAGCTGTGTGACCCTAGGTAAGTCACTTAACCCCATTGCCTAGCCCCCCCCCAAAAAAAAACCAACAAAAAACTACCTGTTCATATCCTTTGACCATTTATCAATTAGGGAATGACTTGTATTTTTAGAAATTTGACTCCGTTTTCTATTTATTTGAGAAATGAGGCCTTTATCAGAGATACTTGTTGGGAAATGTTTTCCCCCCCAGTTTTCTGCTTTCCTTATAAGTTTGGTTGCCATAGTTTTGTTTGGATTGACACTATTTATAAAGACCCATAGTAGGGCTTCTTAACTTTTTGGGAGGTCCTGGACTCCTTTTGGTAGTCTGATGAAACATATGGTCCAGTTCTTATAATGGTGTTTTTAAATGAATAAAATAAAATAGGATTACAAAGTAAGCATATTATATTGAAATATAGTTATCAAAATATATATATTTTAAAAGTTTATAGACCCTGAGTTAACCACTGGTGTAGAGAGATGTTCGGAAAAAAAAAAGCTAAAAACCAGTTTCACTTGCTGAATAGTAGATATCTTTGGGAAGTGGAATTATCCAATTAGTATT